TGCGCGCATCAGTGATATGCCCGATTGCTATGAGACGAAGCTTCTTGGAACGCGGTCACATTACAAATTTCGACGGCCAAAAAGGTTGTTCTGCAGGCATTTGGGCTTGGTTTGCCTCGGCAGCCAAGCGCTTATCGCGAGCCTGGATAACGTGTCGGCAAGTTATGCAGGAACCATTGTAAAATGTAGCAATGCACACTTATGCGCCTGCAAAACGCAGCCCACGTGCAGTTCGCATCTGTATTTTCAATGGGCGGCCCACGCATTAGAGCTGGTGAGGCCGCTGCACATGATGCTCATTTGAGTCCCCCGTAATTGCCGTGCATTTTGGGCTTTTAAAGCCAAAAGCCCAAATTACAAAGTCAATAGCAAACTGGTGACACCGTGCCTCCCGCACCTTTTTTTCAACACCGCGTTTAGGGTTCCGCAGCTGCTTAGTTACCATACTTCGGCTTTTGTGAGTTTCGACAAGCTCAAAGAGAGTCTTGCAGCACATCGACTTCAAAAATACGAACACGCAGTTTAGGCTTCGAGGGAAGCACTGCCTACGTGCTTGTAATTCGGGTTTCCAAATCACTCTTAGTTTCTTGCCATGCTCTCCCACTCTTCCCAATGTGTCTTTTCACCGATGTGACGATAATTCGCAATCTATGAATTTTTTTTTTTTTTTTTCCTGAGCGCCGCGACAACTATCGACGGAAGTGGAAATCGGGCAGAGGAGATTTCCAGGCGGAGACAAGTTGTTGGGGGGGAAAAGACTCGCTCACATGACAGGTGCAGCGTACGGCAGACAGGAGAGGGCGTTATGCGCACGTAGTCATGCGTGGTTCCGCACACGGCGGAACAGGGCACGGGGCGGAGGGATGGTAGCGTGGGGCGGATGTAGGAAGGGGGAGGGCGAGGGTTATCGCGACGGACGGTGATGAATTGGGTAACCAGTCCATCAACTATGCCGAGTGCCTAAAACAACCTACCGTAGATTGAATACCTCACTTTACCATGCACACGCTCCCTCGTTCCAACTTCCTTTGATGCCTAACAATCGCAATGAAACTTGATTCCGACCAGCGTAAATCACGGATGCAGCAGCATCGTGCGTGCCAATGGCGTGGCCCTCTCGCACCTCCCCGCCGTTGCAGCGCGATCCCAACTTCTTCGCGGGCAATTCGCTGCTGCTGCGTGAGCAGGAGAAAACCAGCGTGGCGCAACTCCTCAGCCCGCTCGAGAGCGTTCCTGCCACGTCTCCGCTCTCGCCGCTTTCCTCCTCTGCTTAATTCCGAGCTTCCCGGCTTCACGCCCGCAAAATCCCTCCTGGGCGTCGCGCATCTGCTCTGATACCATGTCAAGAGACTAAGCGAGAATGAATGAACAGAAGAAGAGGGTTGTACTAGCAGGCAGGTGGAGTACATATAGAAAACCCTAAAAGGGTTGTACTCTTTGTTGAGTACCCCACTACAACCTACACAGCACATAACATTCTGACAAGGTGCACAGCGGCGGCTGCTGGTCCTTCGAGCCACCAACGATGCCTTTCCCATGGGGTGCCGGTGCGTGGCCTGGAGCTCAGGCAGTTGTCAATGTTGTGAAGCACCACACAGGCCCCGACGGTTCGTGGCACCTTTCGAATATGTGCTTCCATCCTTATGTCCAGGATCTTCCACTTCCCTTTCAGCCTGCCGTTGGTCTGTTCCACGATCATCCTTTCCCGACTCTGTTGCTTGTTCCAAATGGCCTCCGCATCCGTCAGAGTGTTGCCATTCCTGTCTAGCTTGTAGGGAGTGAATATATAATCTCTGAGTCCATGCGCGGCATCCGCCACAAGTCAAAATCCTTGAAGATCTCCACTTTCAATCCGAGCACATGCCTCACTGTTGTTCCACACCCGGGAGTCATTCACACTACCAGGCCATCCGGCGTCGTAATCCCAGATATGTCCAAAGGCATCAACTAGCAATTGAAGTATAATGCTGTTAGTGCCTTTGCGATTCTGGAAATCAGCGCGGTGCTCACCAAATCCGCAGACTTTGATGTAGGTTCCATCAAGGGCACCCACCACTCATGGAATGCCACCAAGTCGGCGGAAATCATTTGTCATTTGCGCCAACTGGGACGATTCTGGCCAGGTCACCCAGAGTGCGCCTAGCTCTCCCTGGACGAATTCTTCAAAATCGTTGCAGATGCTCATCGCCGTCGTACGACTGAGGCCAAAGTGCAAGCCGATCAGGCGATAGCTCCACGCATGCCCCAACCTTGACAGCCCCACAGCGACGCGGAGCTCAGGCGTGAAGGGATACTTCTCCAAGTGAGGCTTTGATATGAGGAACTCCCTTAAAATGTATGTGAATACATGCCTCTCGACGCGGAAAAGAGAGAGATAGACATCGTCGGAAAAATGTAACAACAACGCCTACCCCCTAGCTCGAACAGCAGCACGGTATTTGAGAAGCATCTCTCCTTGGAGAGCAGCCATTACGGATCTGACAAGGAAGGGAAGTAAACTTGCCAGCACGTCGCCAATGGGAGCAACGATGCAGGAGAGAAGACCCTGGTAGAGCTGGTAGTAGTCGCCATGGCGACAAAGATGTCTATGATCTCAACTTAACTACTATTTAGAGTCCTCGGATTCACAACACCGGTCGTTGAGTGAGCTAGAGCACGCGATCAATGTCGAAACGACCAAATTTGGGGATAAGGAGGGATGGGGGGGGAGGGGGGGGGCGCTGGTTTTTCACGACGCGAATTGGTTGACTTTTTTATATTCTAGTAGTGCGCGAAACATTCGCGCTGAAATTCGCCCGTCAGGTTGTAACACAGGTTGTATCGGAAAAATGTGCCGTGTCGCTGAAACCGCGACACTGTTCTGGCGGGGTAGTGTCCCGCTATCAATTTTGGTGGTTTAGGGTTTCCACCAAACGAAGACACGTAGTACGTGAGTTTCCTGTGTCGGAAACTGGAAATGTACAACCTGACGTCGCCCTTATACTTTTGTCACCGAGTTGAACCTGTGGTAGTCATAACGAGACTCCCTTGTGTTGGCAGCGACCATAGATTGGCAGCAGAAAACATACGTCCAGAATTTCAATACAACACGATTCAAACATAGCATATTTGTTTGATGCTTCTTACAAAGATTTCACAAACCGAGTGATTTATCACAACAAAACTATTAAGGGGCTGCCTGGGCTGAGAAAACTACAACGGACCGCAACGGACAGATCTGATGGGTACGGGCTCAGCATATCTGGTTGATGACAGGCACACAGCAGAAGAAACAATAAATGAGATGAATGGGCTGCATGGTATGATGGTGTGCACTATTGACATAGTAAAGTGAAACGTAAGTGAAGAAAGATTCGTGTACGACAAAATGCAGGCTGCGAATTGATTTGTCATAGGCAACTCACGTATATGCTGTCCACCACCGATCAAATGTTCCAGTCCAACCGATCCGGCCGCAGTCATCCACATTAGAAAACTGTAAGTATCTACAACCAACAGCACCACCGATACCCCTTGTTGCGTAGATGGTTTTGAAGTTCCCAGCCACCTCCTTTGGGAAATTAGTGCAGAAATTATTCAACCAAAAGGTGTAGGGTTTGGATGCCCTCCCGTTGGCATTACGATCCTGGATGAGTGTAATACTAGCGGTAGAGAGTTCATTAGGTGAACCTGGGAATGGATGGCACAAGCAGCACGTGAAATGCGGAGCAAGGATTGGAGCGAACAAGAAAGAAGGGTCACGTCATGATACTGTGCATCGGGACAGGAAAGGACGGATTAGGCAAAAAGCTGTCACACAATTAAGTTGGCTGCTGTTGAAGAAATCAATCGTTTGCAGCATGGGGTCACAGCTTCAGGTTGAGAGGCTCTCAACCTGCTGATATCACAGCTTCAGCTTGAGAGGCTCTCAACCTGCTGATCCATCATGCACCTCTCAGCTTCAGTATCCGTCAGCGCACTACACCACCTCGTCAGCCCTCATTAAAGACAAAGGTAAGGGAATGCACCTAGTGGTAGAAGGGTGGGAATGCACCTAGTGGTAGAAGGGTAGGAATGCACCTAGTGGTAGAAGGGTGGGAAGCAGATGGGGCGATAGTTAAACTTACCCTTCTTGCATCCTGCTGCGGTTATCCCAAAGCCCAAGGGGCACTGGCAGTATGGCACCTCCGCCTCTTCCCAGGTAGTTGTAAAGACGGTGTTGCAGGTGGCACCACTGGGGCATGTGCCACAGGGTGATTCTGAGCAACACAGCAAGCAGAGGAGGCACATGGCACAGCAAGCAGAGGAGGCACACGGCATGGCAGAGAGATGGTGAAATGAGCACAGCAAATGGGCCAGCTGTGTAGACGAATGTTGAGTGGAGCCAGCAACAAAGCGGGCAGCTGCAACAAAATTTAGAGCTAGAGGAAAACTCGTGCACATCGGCTGGGTTGGGTTGGGTGGGTGTAGAGAAAGCTGGGAACCATGCGTACCCCATTTGCAAGAGCGAACGCCATCGGTGTTGATCACGCAAACCCCATCCGGTTGGCAACCCGATTCGGCGCAAGCGATGTCTGATGCGAGTGCACGGGAGGATGGGGTGGAAGAAGGGGAAAAGGAAAAATAGACATCAATGGCCTTAGAGATCGAATGCACGCAATATGTTTTTGAGTCTAAAACAGGTATTGAGTCAAAAACAGGAGAGGAGTCAAAATCAGGATTGGAGTCAAAAACAGGATTGGAGTCAAAAACAGGTTTTGAGCCAAGAACAACTTTTGAGTAAAAAAAACAGGGTCAAAATTTTGAGTCAACCCAAAAAATGGCCACAGAGTCGAATGCACACTATCTGCAAGGAATTTGAGTTGGGGGGAGGCCAAGATTTAAGGACTATGTTTGAAACTCAAGGCAAACATTTTGTGTTGATCCAACTCACCAATGCAAGATAGTGAGTCACTTGATGGCTTAAAGCCCGTGTTACAACTACAGAATGGATTCCCGTCTGTGTCCCTCGTGCAATAAACATGGGTAAGATGGACATGGGTAAGATGGACATGGGTAAGATGGACATGGGTAAGATGGACATGGGTAAGATGGACATGGGTAAGATGGACATGGGTAAGATGGACATGGGTAAGATGGACATGGGTAAGATGGACATGGGTAAGATGGACATGGGTAAGATGGACATGGGTAAGATGGACATGGGTAAGATGGACATGGGTAAGATGGACATGGGTAAGATGGACATGGGTAAGATGGATAAGATGGACATGGGTAAGATGGGCATGGGTAAGATGGACATGGGTAAGATGGACATGGGTAAGATGGACATGGGTAAGATGGACATGGGTAAGATGGACATGGGTAAGATGGACATGGGTAAGATGGGCATGGGTAAGATGGACATGGGTAAGATGGACATGGGTAAGATGGACATGGGTAAGATGGACATGGGTAAGACCAATCTGCGACGAGGAGAATCAAGCAATGCGTGCTGGCAGGTGGCGTCTGCCGGCAGGTGGCGTCTGCCGGCATGGGATGGGAACCCACAGAGATGCGGCAGGGAGGCGAGGAGGCAAGGAGGCAACGAAGCAACGAGGCAGGAAGCAAGGAGGCGAGGAGGCGAGGAGGCGAGGAGGCGAGGCACGCACCACACTTGCAGGAAACAGAAGTCCATCGGGGAATCTTCTTTGCGCTGCAAGCAAGGACGGCAGGAACACATTCACATGAGACGGCAGGAACACATTCACATGAGACGGCAGGAAGACATTCACATGAGACGGCAGGAAGACATTCACATGAGACGGCAGGAAGACATTGACATGAGACGGCAGGAACACATTCACATGAGACGGCAGGAAGACATTGACATGAGACGGCAGGAACACATTCACATGAGACGGCAGGAAGACATTGACATGAGACGGCAGGAACACATTCACATGAGACGGCAGGAAGACATTGACATGAGACGGCAGGAACACATTCACATGAGACGGCAGGAACACATTCACATGAGACGGCAGGAACACATTCACATGAGACGTTACGATAAGGCGGTAGAACCCGAGTCACGACTGTGGTAGAACCCGAGTCACGACTGTGGATCACGACAGTGGCATTGGTAGAGGAAACTCACTCCCCTGCCCTGCATTTATCACACACCTGCCCTATCACTACTTCTCATAACCCGCCCTGCTACCATCACCCTGCTACCATCACCCTGCTACCATCACCCTGCTACCATCACCCTGCTACCATCACCCTGCTACCATCGCACACCCACCTGGGCACGTGGAAGAATTAGAACATGTCACCACTGGTCATCATGATCCTTGACCCAGGACCCACCTGTCACTACTCGTCATGACCCATTATGACCCATGACCCGAGGCCCACCTGGGCACGTGGAAGAATTTCCGCAGGGCGGCAATCTGCGGCTGCAGCACCTCATCCAGCGCCTTGCCCTTGCAGCCCGGGTTGGCGAAGAACCGCACCTGCTTGCACGCCGCACCCCCCTTCTTCCCCCGTGTACCACCGCCACCCCCACCGCCGCCCGTGAGCCCGTGCCACCACACCTGCACGTCACCCGCCGCCTTGCGCGCCGCCCGGGGAAGGCTGAAGCAGCGGAGGCGTCGAAGCTGACGGGGAGGCTCACGCCCGGCACCGAGATCTGCGTTGCCACGTGGACCCTCGCGTCCACCGCGCCACCCCCCAGCCCCACCCCCCAGCCCCACCCCCACGCCCACCCCCACGCCCACCCCCACGCCCACCCCCACCCCCACGCCCAAGCTGTCATTCCCGCTTCCCGCAGTGACTTCGCTTTTGAGGCTTCTGGCTGCAGTTGCAGCCTCGCTTGCGCCTCGCACTCGCACCGTGACGAAAGCGTTCTGGCGATCCGCGTGCTCGCCTGCTGCCATGCGCGCCGTGGCGACGGCTGGAGGGAGAGGGGTGAGAGGAAGGGGGCAGTGAGTCTGCGTGCTTCTCAGATGTAGGCACGCCTGCACGACCGCGTTGAGGGGAGCTGTCAAGAGAGGACAGGTGGGCTGCGGAGGCCTTACTTCCATCAACTCGTGTTGTTTAGGACAACGAAACAAACTCCATGAGAAATGGCGGAAGGAGCCTGGTGTGCTTAGCTTGAAAACGTTGTTGAGAGAGCCAGTTTAAAACAAATCTTCACTAAAGAATCAGGGACATTCCAAACTAGTTTCGGCTTTTGCAAGCCTTCATCAGTACAAGCCTGAAACTAAAGATCAGAAATGAAGAAAACTAGCTAAAATACTCTACGCTCAGGCTAGGCTAACCAGGACATGACGGGAATGAAGATCGAATGTGAAAGAGGCGACGAGAGGAGCAGACAGCTTCGGTCCAATCTCTAGGAACCAGAATTGGAATCCTCGGAGTGGTTGGAATCTGGAACCGAAGAGGTGGGGTAACCACTTGTGTCGCGCGAGAGGTTCGCTGCAACAGGTCGCAGCCTCGATTGAATCAGTCTTCGACGTAAGCGGGAAGGTAATTTCCACGCCAACAAAAATCTACAGGAACCAGAAGAATAGCTACGTGTTTGAAGAAGTGTTTTGAGACGTCTCAAAACGAACCCAAGGGGTAGACCTTTACTGAAGGGGGTGTAGTTGGTCTTCAACACCAAGGGTCCGTGAGATCTCGGATCTGGTCCTGTAGATGAAGCTTGAAGCAATTGTCGTTCTCGAGCTCGTTGAAGAAGCTCTTCTCGTTGAATGAATGTCACGGCCGCAAAGAGCGGTAGCAGAAAATTAGGCGGATATCCCCTAGAGCGTAGCCTCTGGAAAAAGGCTTGCTTCATACTGCAGAAGTCGTCGAAACTTGAGCTTCGCAGTAGATAACGTCTCAGCTCCGAGCGAATAAACCCCTCCTTGCAATGCCGCGGGTGAAATGACGAAAATGGTAAGTAGAGATAGGTGTTGTTCGGCTTCTGGTAAGTAGCGAAATCCAGTAAACCGGTGCTTCTGTAGCGCTGCCCTTTGCGGACGACTATGTCAAGGAAATCTACAGAAATTTCCGAGACGGTCCAGGTGAGCTTAATGGACGGTCGAAGCGTATTGAAAGTAGCGAGGTACTCCTCAAGCCCTTCCTTACTCCCTTCCCAGCAGATGAAGCCGTCATCTATGTACCGGAGATGAAGCAGAGGAAGTTTGTTCCCCATACGCGCTCGTAACAGCTCGTCCAGTCTGCTCATGTAGAGGATAGCGAAGCAAACAGCCACCAAGGTTCCCATTGCCGTTCCCTGTATTTGCCGAAACAGTCTCCCGTTAAAATCCACGTACGAATTGAACATCACCCATTCCAGCAACGCCATAATGACAGGTGCGTTCGGGAAGTGCAGAGGGTCGCGTTCTAAAAAGGATCTGACGACATCGACACCCTCCCGAAGAGGAATTGAAGGGTAGAGCGCCTGAACATCATAAGTAGCGAGCAGGAGATTGTTTTTCGGGAACGGGGTCTTCTCCAAATGAAGAAGCAGCGACAAAGAATCTCTCAGGTATGTAGGCTGCCGGAGTACCAAAGGTCGTAAAGCTGTATCAAGCCAGCGACTAACATTCGCGGTCACCCAGGAATGTGACGCGGCGATGGGCCTTCCGACAGGTACTTTCTTGTGGACTTTCATGATGACGTAAAAAATGGCGGGTTTCCAGCCGTTAACCGGTGGGTGTTGAAAGAAATTCCAGAGATACTTAGGCAGCAGCGGTTCGAAATTGAAACGGATGTCTGACAGCTTGGCTAAGACCGTGATTCGAGGATCTTCAAAATCAGGGTCTGACGTCGAAACTTCCTTGAAAGTACTCCTGTCCAGAAGGTGGTTAAAACACTCGGTAATGTATGAAGATCTATCCATCAGAGTGATCCCTAAATTCTTGTCAGCCGGCTTGATGATTAGGTCGGTGTTGGAAGAGAGCTCAGAAATGGCCTTGTAGTAACCTTTGGGAAGGAAAGGCCCTTTGCGAACAATTGGTCGAGAAAAAAACAAAGATAAATCTTTCCTTGTCTCCTCGAACACTGCTTCCAGCTGCTCGTCCTTTTCAGGTAGCCAGTCAGGATTGCTGACGCGGAAACGGCTGTCGGAACGGCCTTCTCCTTTAAAGAATTCCTGGAGTCTAATTGACCTGAACAGGTTCGTAAAATCTTTAGTGATGTCAGAGGAAGAAAAAGGAGGTGAGTGCGGCAACACAAACTTAAGCCCGAGTCCAAGAACATTGCGTTCAGCAGGAGTCAAGGTATGAGAGCTCAAGTTGTGAATTCCGTGGTTGGTGATGCGAGTCTTAGCCTGGGACTCTGTCATCCTACCAAACCACCGGAGTGCTAGTTCTTGGCTGCTTAGTTGTGCTGACCCCTTGCGGGGCCTCCTCCGTTTTTTGGCCGATGCGGGTACCATCTCTTATTCTTCTTCTTCTTATCCCTCTGATCACCTGCAGGTTGCTGCTGCTGCTGCTGCTGCTTCTGCTGCTGAGGCTGCTTTGGCGCCTTCTGCTGCTGTACCTGTTGCTGCTGCTGCTGCTGCTGCTGCTGCTGTCCCTGCTGCTGCTGCTGTTTCTGTGTGGAGGATGGCTGGTTAAGCAGTTCCAATTTTTCAAGGCGTTGAAGCACCGCGGAGAGCTTTGAATCTACTACATCCTTGGCAACTTCTCGCATACTGGGCTCAGTCTCCATTTTCTGGAGCGCCTCCTGAGCTGCCTTCTTCACCATCTCCGCCTCGTTCTTTAACCGCTGATTCTCATGAAAGTCCATGAAGGCTTTAGTTTGCTGTATCTCGATAGCTTGATTAGCTTCCTGGATAAGTAGGACCTTGAAGTATTCCATGACCTCAACGGCTTTGTTGCGTCGTGGATCGTCCTCCATGGCTTTAATGCCATTAATATAAGTGGAGATTAACCCATCCAGGAGAGTAGCAGCACTGTTGGCTTCTGAAAAAGCCGTAGCCATAAGTTCTTCTTTAGCTTTAATGAAAACTTCTTGCTGGAGCTTGAGAGAATCATTATGCAAAGAAGAAATCTTGTCATCAGCGACTTTTTTTATTGCTTCATTGGAGGTCTGAAACTGGACAGCCTTGGTCCTGATACTGTGAAGTAATTCTCCTCGGCTGTTAATCATCTTCATTTTAGCAACCTGTTGCTTGAGGCTCAGAAAAGTGTTGTATGATTTGATGGCTTTAGAGATAGCTTCTTGTTGCCACTTCTTGAATGGAGGTGGACATAACTCGTGGCCAAAACTAGATCCAAGATCTTGTAGCATAGGGCCTGATTCCTGTCCTTGACCGCCATCTGGCGTTAAAGCCGCTTCCAGCGATCTCTGGGAGATATTCACTCCGTGGATCACATTAACACCTGCATTGTCTGCGTTAGAAGCCATAGCAGGTGACGCGGACGCTACTCTTTTTGGAGTTTTAAATCGTTGTCGTCGTAATGTCTTAGGATGTGTGATGGAGTATGGAACCGGAGTAAACTCAAATTTCCCGTTATCCAGCCGTCGAGAATCTTCCGATTCCTCCCGCTGACGCTTAGTAGCGCGAAAAACGAAGAAACGTGAGGTCTCGTAAAGGACCTCTGAGTCGGATGAATCGTTATCAGAAGATGAAACGCCTTCGGCCACAACCGTGTTAAAAGGTGCAGGAGCTGTCAAGAGAGGACAGGTGGGCTGCGGAGGCCTTACTTCCATCAACTCGTGTTGTTTAGGACAACGAAACAAACTCCATGAGA